GTGGATTAATTGAAGTTTAAATTAAATTTTTTAAATTGTCAATTACATGGATGTTATTCTAGATGTTAATTAATGAACCATTAAATTATGTTCTGTCAGTTACATGGATATTATGGATTGTATACACCGGTATGGGACAATGGCATATTAGGGATGGTTTAGCTCAAAACGCTAAGTCCTACCTACTCTGAAATAAGGGAATGGATTATAAAATTAAGTCCTACTTATGTTTAAGTCAGATCAACTAAGTAAGTTGAGTGACTAACTGGATTATGTGTTATTTGTATTTAAGTCAGATTAATGCTAAGTCCTACCTACTCTGGAATAAGGGAGTGAATTATAAAATTAAGTCCTATTTATATTTAAATCAGATTAATTGAGTAAGTTGAGTAACTAACTGTATTATTTGTTATTTATATTTAAGTCAGATCAACCGAATAAGTTGAGTGACTAAGTAGATTAGTTGTTACTTGTATTTTATATTAGATCAATGAACAATTGAATGACATACTCTGGTTTTGGATGGATTTTAAATATATGATTATGGTACCATGATTTGAGCTTGAATCTCAGAATCGATGGTTAGGGAGCGTATATGCATTGGAATGCTTAACTGGCTATGATGGTAGAGGTATACCCTGTTAGGTCTAGGTACTCATGCCCACCTCTGGTGAGTTTTGTATGTTACCTTCTATTCAGGTTGAGACTCCCTTTGTAGTCCAGTGAGAGTCCCTTAGTGTGGATATATACATATGTGAACTATTTTAGTTATTGCTAAGTTATCTAGGATGTATTTGCATATTAAGTCCCTGTTTGGATTGTAGTTAGAATAGATCTTATTCGTGGGCCTGACCCACTATCATATTTCTCAGGTGTTCGACAGTTCCAGCCGTAGAGCTTGACCGTGCCGAGTAGAGACAGTCACTCATTCCTCTGACTACGTAGGTTTCTTACTTATGTTTTAGTTGGATTTTATTTTCAATAATTCATTTCCAGTTGGGATTTTATTTAGGGGTCCACTAGATGGATTCCCGAGTTGTTATCGTGTAGGTTTTGGATTGTCGGATTATTATAATTATTTAATTTTGAGGATTTAATATTTAGAAATCTTTTAGCTTTATTATTTATTTCTTAATTCTTTTGTTATCTGTGTTCATTTAAATATTAATTGTTTAGGATCTATGCTCGGACTTAATCACCCGTGGCTCTAGAATCTAGGGGTATCACATCAATGATGATCTATTTAACATCTTTACACAATGCAATTAGTCAAACTCCTGATGTGTAGTCTGGAGCACACCAAGGGCGAGGGTATTTTGGTAATATCCTCACCTATTTTGTTTCCCTGGTGTGATGGTATGTATTTCATTCAGAACTCTTTGTATTGTGGCCGTTTTTTTGAACTTATTGTAATCCCTACAACCCGTGCATGTAGTCCTAATTCACTAAATCTGTATGTTCTTGTGTGTGTGTTTGATTTGTTTTTCTGTGTTTTTGGTTTAATTTTGCAACAACCAGGACTAACATAAGTCAATAATTAATGATACCCACTGAATGTTGTGTCCTCAATCAATTTGTTGATGAGAGTTCCATATTGGCTCAATCCATGTTAGCTTGACCATTAAAAAAAATGTCCAAATCAATTATCATTATTGATACATGACCTAGCAGACATGTAGTCACAACACAACAATGACTCAGTAACAAATAGGCTTTGCTCTTCAGTAACTATTAAGTATATTGAAGACTGTTCCTGTCCAGGCACATCTTAACAGAGTAACCGGCAACAGTAATTTATGGCATTTTTTTTCTTAATGTATTCTGAATTTCGAAAGAATTCACTTAATTCACCAAAAGATTTAATCCATTAGACGTATGGACATGCTTTTGATAATACTTTCTTTAGCCTATATTTTATATCAATTTGGTTTTTCTATAACTGTGTCAGTATTCAAAAGCAACAATAAACATTAAAAGATGACAACTTCACACAACTCATAAAAACACGGCTTTAGAGATGCAGCTAGCTCAGATTAGCCAAAATGTTTAAAGCTTTACATTGAATGATTTATTTACAAGTTGAAAAACACAAAAATCTTATTTAATTAACAATTTCTTGTATTCCAGGTATTATGGGATGGATTTTCAGTAAAATCCACATTACAAAAATGAAGAGACTAGCTTGCTTGTCCCTATTTCTCTCTGTCAAGAAATATATACTTTATGTTCTTTCTCGCGTCATGTTTGGTCTACGAATCAATAAATCCTAAAACTATATAAGGTATGAAATCAAAGGATTGAAGGTCTCATACTCGTGATTAAGTACTCCATTACAAGCATAAAAGAGAAGGGAGATTTGTATAAAAGTTCACTACTAAAGCAAAAAAGTGACCCTACAAACAGACAACAGTTTTATTCAGTGAGGTGTCAAAATGATTCTGTCTTCAAACTTATTGTCAGAATTTGAGTGGCTACACTGCATATATTTAGCACAACATTATCCTTCACATTTATAAGAGAAAATTAATGGAAATGTGTACTATTGAAGATGTGCCTAAAGTTAGGGCGAAAGAAATTATCCAGAAGAACAGGCACTATTAATTTATCACATGTTTTATTTTCTAATATTTTGAAGAGCCACTTGGCTAAATCTTATCAAGAATTGGATAATCGGAAAACAATCTGTGACAATGGTTATTTGTACTGCATATTTGACCATTTTTTAAAGCATTTTTGGATAAAGAAGCATGAATTATTAATGTTCCTCTGGTTGAATTGGAAGTCGTTTAGCTGTCATGCATCGAAAGGACACTTTAGTATGTCTCTAAAATGTTGAACATCGAAATCACTAAATATATTTCCCTCCGTTTGTTTGAACGTAAAAAAATATATTTTTATTTTTTTGTGTTTGGTTGTACTAAAATATCTATGAAAAATATATATATTAAAATTTAACAAAAATAACTTATCCATTAATTTTCGACAAGTTATTTTACATGTCCGGATGGAGTCAACATCAATTTCGACGTAGACTTTTACCAAACACCAACAAAGTAAAAATAAAAGAATATTTTACTAAAAAAAGTAATATATTTTTCAAAAAGAATATATTACGAGGAAAAGAAAAATATTTTCCAAAAAGAATATTTTACGTCGAAACAAACGGAGCATGGATAAACATGTCTAGGGAGTCCTTTGGGAGCATTTCCATGTATGCCAAGTTATCAGAAAGGCCATGGTGCAGACACTTTTCTGATTCTCTGTATTTAGACTGAGATTCCTCAATTTTACTTGTGCTTTTTTAGTTTCCTTAATAAATTTCAATACATAATATCTTCCAACTTTATAAAAAGAATCTTATCTGGTCATGATGCATCTCAATGAATTACATACAATCTGAGATTTGTATTTTTTTCTTTACAAATAGGTCATGCAATTCAACATTGGCAATTTCCACAAATTGAAAATCAACTGAAATATTTAAATTGGACCTATTGAATGAAACTCTTCGTCTCCATTGTGTACCTACATTTGGTTTTTTTAGCCGGCAGCATTATTGAAACAACATCATACATACATATATATATGTATGCCGGCTAAAATTTAGAGCTTGTAGTCAACCTATCATCCTTCCATTTTTAGACCAAGCTTATACCATCACCAATTCTCACTTGTATGAGTGGAGGAACACTGTCACATGGAGAACTAATTTGTCCAACTTTGCAGAAGATGACTTAGTGCTCAGCTTTGTGGTCAACTACTTTGTCACATGGGCAACTAATTTTTGAGATGTATTATGCATGTTAAAGAAATCTAGGTAGCCCTCCACTGTTTGTTCTACTAAAATTGTAGGCCATGGCAAATCACCTGAGAAATATTACAGAAAAGAAACAATAATAATTCAAGTACATGATGTGATAACTCATCATGTATGTCCTTCAAACAATAATAATTTGAAGTACTGCACTCTGCAGAAATAGGGAACGCAGAAGTAGGGAACAAAGTATCAGGGATGTCAATCCCACCAAGTGGTCAATCTCTCCTTCATGATTTTCATTTATTCCTTTAAAAAGTGGATCTGCAATCAGCATACCTTAATTAGTTTTAGTTTTGGAAGGTTTTTCTTACCTTTGTCAACACATAATTCTGTCCCTAATCTATTATTTCCTTCCTAGTTAGGATTAGGCAATTTAGGCATGATGTGTATATATATATATATATATATGTAAGTCTCCTTGCACGTGTAATATAGATTGTAATACAATCAAAGATCTTTTCCAAGCAAAGCTTCTTTATGGTATCAGAGCCCTAAAGCTCTAACGAGTAAACACATAACCTACCTCTTATGTGTTTTTTTTTCGATCCTCTTAAGTTGTTAAGACTTATCTACTGCAACAGAGATTGGTTTATTTTTATTGCAGTTACAGCATTTCCTTCACAATTGCATTTACAAGATAAAATGCATGCTTTTATAAAATCTCATTTGTTTGTTTCCATTCATTTTAATTTCAACCACCTGGTTATGGTTTCGTTCACTAAACTGTTGCTTGTTCTGGTTACAAAAAAGATTGAATTTGGTATCAATCTAAGAATTGGTACCTGAAAATGTTATATATTAATGCTTCTTTACAGGCTTCCATACTCAGAGAGTGACGATTTAGATGTCTAAAGCAGCATGTCTTTGATCAAAAGGGTCAGCTACTAAAATACTTAAATTCACTCCAAGGGTGGTCCTTTCTACCTCTTATGATACTAAAAGTGGTAGGGTATGATGTTTTGTCAACAAACTAATTTACACTACAACTACAAGAAAATAGGTTTTTTACAACACATTTTCTACAATAGGCCCACAGATCCATTGTAGAAAGAGCTTTCTACAACAGGCCCGTATGGCCCATTGTAGAAAGGTATTCGAATAGCCCATTGTGGAGTGGACTTTCTACAACAAGCCTGCATGGCGCCTTTTAGAATAGGGTTAAGTGTCTTTTTGTGAAAATTTCATTTTCCCGGCAAATTGTTTTCATCAGGCGGCGAAAAAATTCATTTATCCTCCCGTATACATCAATAAACAAAAACACCCCTCTCTCTCTCTCTCTGGAATCCATATGAAACCCTAACCGTCTCTAAGTCCAAACAAGAATTTTTCGGGAGCTTCGTTTTGGCGAGTTTCACCTTCAGAGGAAAATTTCCCAGGTGCATCTCTGTTCATCTCTGAACTCTCATCTCTATTCATCTCTGAACTCTAGTCTCTGTTCTTCTCCTCGATCTTTTCCTTCTCTGAACCCTCATCTATAACCCCTAGAAGATACCATCATCTGTAGGCTGACCAGAATTGAGAATCTTAATCCGACGAAGACAGGCGACCGACGAAGACCAACAACTGGCGATCAGCGACGAAGACCAGCGACCAGTTCTATCAGTGAGCGAGCAAGGACAAAGTTACCATGTTATAGTTGCCTATGTATGTGATTTTAATCTAATTTCTGTCTGTTTAGTGAGTTCCCCTCTTCTCTTTACCTATAGTATAGTCGGATTGATGAAACCTTTAGGACTTCCATGAGTCAAGATTGAATAACAAACAATCTTTGACGTGTATTATGAAATTGGGGCTAGTCTTTGACAGTGTATTATGAAATTGGGGTTAGTCTTTGACAGTGTATTATGAAATTGGGGTTAGTCTTTCAATTTGACATCTGAAGCAAAGCGTCAACTCTGTGAATATGGTGTTTTCATAGTGCTTTCTTTGCACGACTCGAGTTTTAGCGACCCCAACCCCTCTTTTGGGGGCCTTTGTGTCGCCCCTTAGGCCAACCAAACCCAAAACTAACCAATTCCTTCTTCCTCCAAATATATCTGTTCGAGAGTGCCATTAACTGTCTTCAGAACAGTTTGCAGACCTTGGATCCTCAAATTAATTATATATTGAACTTTTCTATGCTGGCAAGTAGAGTGTAGAGCATAGGAAAGAAGAAATGGAATTATAATATTGTGCCTTGACCTTATATAAGATGATTATGTGTCTAAGTAGGTTTTTTTCTTTTTTCTTTATTTATTTATTTATTTTTTTTTTTTTGTGTAGAGCATAGGAAAGAAGAAATGGAATTATAATATTGTGCCTTGACCTTATATAAGATGATTCTGTGTCTAAGTAGTTTTTTTTTTTTTTTAGATAGTAAAAGAAGGTAAATGCTCTTATAAGGGTTAGAAATGGCATTATTGAGGAACTCAGATTCATGGTCTTTCGGACTTATGTACGCTTATTAACATACTATTGCTCAAAGATTGTGTGATTATGGACCTCTAGCTAGACAAAGTATAAACGATATACATATATATTTTTTTTCTTTCTTTCCATGTATCTCTCTTAAAATGGATATAAATTTACAAGTTAGTTATTTTATTATAACCTTTCAAATGTAAATGTTTTCATTGAATTAGAGATTTATTATTTTGTAGAGCAGATATAACATCATCGAATTCCTTAAATTCTTAGTTAAAGTTTCTTCAAATATAATATATTGGCAAGAAACTTGATGTTGACTGATTTGTTCTTGTTTCTTTAGAGTGGACGATCATATATAAAATTTTATTTTGAGAGTATCTGAGCTTGAGATTTTACTGAGGAATATTTCATGAAAATATGTTTTGTTATGGATACTCATTTAATTTTTTTTATTGTCTCAAAGTATATTACATTCAAGTGCGTAGATGATATATACGATGATAGATTATGATATTATTTGAATATGTATGTGCTGATTATACTTTTTGACCAGTTCAGATGGCACCCTTAATAATTACTTGTCACAATTTAAAGAAAAAACAGGAATCCTAGTAATTTTCAGCATTCTGTTAAGACAGGTGAAAGTTAAAACTGAAATATCAGGGAAAATGTCATCTTTAGGACCTGTGAGAGGGAAAAGAAAAATGACTATAATATTGTTCTAGATAATTTTAAATTTCAGCTATAGTGTGAACTTGGATTACCTTCATGTTATGTTTATCGATAGATAAGCCACAATATTTTTTTTTTATTGCTAAAGCAATGAATTAGTGTTGAACTATTTGTTAATTCATTTATTTTGGGAGATTAGTTATCGTCATATTGTGTTTGTTAAATTTTTTATCTGCCCTTCAATGAAATTGCGATGTGAAACATTTGTTGAACATTATTTTGTTATTGAATAAACTGGTACGACTATAATTTGTGCTTCAACAGATCATGCTTATTTGATTTTAATATTTTTATAGTTGTATATAATTCTTGTGTTGTTTAGAGGTAGTGTGGTGGGTAATATATGTAATTGAATTTTGAAATGGCAATTACTTGAAATAGGAGAAATGAGATACCTTGTTATGGCTTGAAATTACTCCTATAAGATGATCATGTGTAGTTAAGTTTTATTTATTTAGTTACTATTATTATTCTTTTTTTCTTGAAGGAGGTTAATGCAATATGAAGAGTTAGAGATTAAGTGTATTGAAAATGGTGATTCGCCATTTATATGTTTTAAATATGCCATATAAATTGACCCGTGTTATTAGAGTTAGGTGGAGCAGTATAGGACATATTCTCTCTAATTTCCATAAGGTCCACATTATTGATACTAGGCCATTTCCAGCACCCTCTGCCTAGACCAGAGTCTATGAGAAGTTTAAATGAACATCCAATATAAATTACCTCCCATTACCATCCAAAACCTTTGAGGATTATTCAAGAATTATTTAATTTAGATTGAAATAGATATATTGTTGCTTAAAAATTATTTATTTTATACTGAAACATATATTTTTTTTTGCTTAAATTAATTTGTTCAGATTCACAATCTTCATCCTCTTCACTACATTATGTTGGGGATAATCTAAATAATCCTAAATAATAGATTTCCCTGCAAAACCTAGCAATCATAAATTGAATAGGCATCTACAACTCTGGCGTAACATGCACAATCTTCATCCTCTTCACTACACTATGTCCGAAATTTGTGAATTTTTGCTTAAACATGACCTAGAAAATGAAGAAGCTGATGAACAGAGGATTTAGAAAGCCTTCATCCTCTCCATCCTCTTCTGTTTTTACTTCAATTTCCTCATCTAATTCTGATCCTCATAACCTTCAATAGAGTTCGAACCGTTCTTTGTCTTCTTCGTACCAATTTTGTTTGTGAACAAAGAATTTAGAAAGCCAGCAAGTTGGTGGCCAGGTGAGTTCAGTTGTTTCGCCTTCTTCAAATTGTTGTAAATCTACATCTATAATCCAAGAATATATTTATATATGCATTGTGTGTGAGTGTGTGTGAGAGAGAGATTATATGGTATATTTACATTCTTTGTGAAACAAGTTGTCTGATTCTTTCAATTTGAATACATTTTGTGAACCCAAATATTATTATATATTTGCACATTTATATAATGGAGTTTTTATTTTAAAACTATGAGCTTTCCATCGGTGATTGTTCCTTACTGATGTTTTTCCACATATAGCATCAGAAAATTTTAGGGTTCTCATTGTGTTCTAAGTATTCTGTTAATGGGTTGTGTGAAATTGCAATTGAAAGTTGAAATTATTGTGTATACTGCCATAGACAAGTAATATTATTTCTAAAATTATTAGCGTTATATCAGTGAGTACTTAATTATGATAATGGCATCTTTTATTCAGGTTGAATTTCCATTGATCCATCTAAATTACACTTTTAGGTGCCTCCTCAAGAGCATTGTTGTCAGCATAAACAAAACAACGTATAGAAGAGAACAACACATCCAAGGAAGTACTATAACAGTTTATAATTGATCCAATTGGTATGATTGTAGTCTTACTCTATTGCCATATACTCTCTTCTTTTTTTCTTGAAATTTGATGAAATACGTTGTATGATTGTATAACTTTGGAAAAATTAGTCAGATGCTTCATATTAAACAACTAAAAACAGTTTTCCTTAGTGGAAAGAACAATGTATTAACTACTCTTGATTGTTCAAGGTTTTTATGTATTTAAGGTTAAAATTTTCATATACATATTTAGATATATGTATATATAATAATTGTATCTTGTATTTGTTAAATAGTTATATCATTGTTCCATATCCTTTTTATTTTTCAATGACTTGGTCTTAAAATTTATGGGTTAGCATCTAAGCACATAAAATTGGAATTTTGAAAGACAAATGAGAAACAGACAAGATTTTGCAGGCTGTTATACAAACTGGAAAGTGAGACTGGGGTTATAGACTCTCCATTGAAGTGCTTGTTTGAGTACTTAGTTATACCCTGTGAACATTAGTAGGACAATATTGGTGCTTTCTTTGTAGTTGCCTTTGGTTCTACTCAAGTTAGTATATTAAGTATGTTTGCAAAAGAATTTTGCCAAAATATTACATTTGACACAAGATGACATAGTTTCATGTCAATTTCCTAGTTTGTAGGTGCTGGCAACTTTTGCTGCTCTATTTTCTCATGGACCTACGTCTCAAATTTCTCAGCTACCACGGTTGCGGTATGTATTCATGTATCTTGAAAGGGGTTGAGGTTCTTTTCCATCTTTGTACACACTGGTATTTGATAATTTACAAACACTACTTTGTTAGCCTGTCAGGCCATAACCTCTCCTTTATATAAATCATCGACACATGCATTCACCTTGGTAAATTGAAAATTAACTAAAATTTTGCTTTTTGTTGCTAGATTTGATCCACGTCTTTTATTGCATGGACAACAATACATAGAAATTTACAAGGCACTTCCTTCTAGTGGTTGTGTAAGCCTCCTACCCAGAAGCTCTTGATTAAGATAATGTGCCTATATATTCTTTCTTGTTTGCTTATGTCCTGTATTTGATGTGAGACTGATCTTAAATTTGTATAATTTCAGCCCAACATCGTAATACTTAAGTTGAGAGCTTCAGTCTTATTAATTACCAGTTTTTTCTAAAATATTAATGGCCTAAGACAATTAATGGTAGGCTAGCAGCTCATTTTAATGCAAATCGGAGATATTACCAAGGGAACCTATTATCTGTCACACTTTTACAGGAACATTTTTTTATTATCACTTATTTCATACATATTAATTCATAGATCTATGTATGCCCTGATTTATTTATTTTTAATATATTTTTTCTTTCTTGAGTTCTTTAGTGAGAGTTTTGGCTAAAATTTTCTTCTTTGTTTTCAGTTATGTTTAGCTGCTTGGAGGCTTGCCTTGAATGCTTTGGAGGGAAAGTTTTTGTAATCTGAGCATGATGGGAAATGCCTTGGTTGTGTTGGTATTGAAACTTTTCTAATCCTTGTACAATGGTAACAATGAAGGGAACTTTGTAATCTTTAATGAATATAAAATAAATTTGGGATCTACTTGTTTGTGATTAATGGGATGTAGATGTAAATTTTCATTTTTATATGACTTGAACTCTTTTTCATCTTGTATCATATTGTTTGTACATGGCTTGGTGTGGATATATATACCTTTGGGTGGATTTATTGTTGTGTTTAGTTGTACTGATTTTGTATTGGGGGCAATGTAAGGCAACCATTGAATTTTTTTTTTTTAAAAAAAAAAAAAATTGCTTTTTATAAGGGGCCAGACCCGTCGTCGGAAGTACTCTTTTTACAAGACGCGCAGACCGTCGTAGAAAGCAATCTTTCTACAACAGGCGTTGCCCTTTGTAGAAAGTCCCATTTCTATAACGAGTTGGAACTGTCGTAGAAGACCCTGAGTCAACAACAACGGATACCACAATGGCCATGCCCGTTGTAGAACTGTTTTTCGCCCCTTGTTAAGTCATTTTTCTTGTAATGTTAGTTTCTATCAGTCTTCAAGTTCTTGATGAGTTGGAAGACAAATCCATGTGCTTCTTATTGTGCCAATGTCTCTCACTACACCCCATCCTGATGCCTCTTTTCTACTCATCCCACATATCTTTGATCTATATATACACACATATAAGTTGGTCTGTGTCCATCACAACTCTTGACATTATTCACTCTCAATTTCAAAGCACTGGTCCATGTTGTACAATCCTTTGTGATCTTCATTTCTAGTTCTTCAGAGAGATATATCCATATACAATGATGGGTATCCACGTGCCTCATATTCTTTGCTCCAAGCAAATTTTAGACCATCTTCTATTAAAGAACACCAAATTGCATCAAAAACTATATATGTCATGTAGGGTTATTGCGCAGTTTATGTTGGAGAGAACGAAAAGAAACGATTTCTAATTCCAATATCATGTCTGAACCATCCTTCATTTCAAGATTTGCTTAGTCAAGCTTGTTACCCAAGAATTGATTCTAGAGGGGGGGTGAATAGAGTCAATGGCCAATTTTCGCAAATTATAGAAATACAATTTCTAATCAACAATATAACCAATTATGCAATAATCAAGATATGAAGGTAATCAATTTAGCACAATTGTAAAAGAGATAAGGGAAAAGAAATTGCAAACAATAAAACGGTGATTTTTGCGAGGTTCGAAAACTCCTACTCCTCGGCTCAAGATCCCTCTTGAGACTTCCCAAATTCCTTAGAGCTTCTCCTTAATGGTGGAGAGTAAACATTCAATTGAAGCAAGACCTTACTTCTCTTTCTTATTAGGAGAACACCCTTCTCTTAGGCTTCCTTTTGGATCACACCAGCCCTTTACAATAACTTGAAATAGAAATGAAGTGTACAATGAATCTCTCAAAGATAATAGTACACTTTTTAGCTCACAACTAGAGTATTGATGAATATAAATGAAGCTCAAACTCTATGAATGAAAGAAGATGAAATATGTGAAGAAAATAAGCTCATATGAATTCAATAGAATCTCTCAAATGTATAATAGAGCAAAAACTCTATGAAGATTAAAACAAGAGCAAAAGCTCTTTTAATCTTTACTAGAATATCTCAAGATAGAATAAGAGTGAAATGAGAGAGATGAAGAAAAGATGAGAACAAAAGCTCTCTTTGCAATGTAATATAATGTTTCTCAAATGGTGTGTATTTCAGCAGACAAGCCCTCTGTATATATATAGAAGTTCGAAACTCAATATAGCTGTTAGAAGTGGTTGGGGATCAATAAATGAAAAAGTTTCCGTTATAGTTTAAAACCCCAGAAGGAGCCGGCTCTTGTAAAACAAGAGGAGGCGGCTCCCTAGCCTTGAGAGCCGACTCTCCATTGCATGGAGCCTGCGCCCTATTTTGGGAGCTTGCTCTTTGGTTGGAAGAAATGATTTTTTGTTAAAAAAGCCTACTGGAATATTGAGAGCCTTCTCTATCTTTTATAGAGCCTTCTCTATCTTTCATGGAGCCTTCTCCATTTGCCTTGAGAGAGCTGACTCTATTTCTTATAGAGGCGGCTCTTTCTTCATGGAAGCTGTTCCTAATTTTGGATTTGACAGAAAAGAAAATGACTTCAAATGGACATAACTTAGTCCATTTAACTCCAAATGAGGCGAAATTTGAGACTAAATTTATTGCATTGAAGTCAAATTTCTAATGCCATCAACCTTGCTCAAAAATTCTAAACACAGAAATAGTTATGGCCGTTTTAGTGCAACCTGGTCAGAATTTTCACAAACCAGAAACATGCATCTTGTGATGCTCATATCTCATTCAATTCAAATCATTTTTAGGTGAAATTTGAGTCTAAACTCAAGGGCTCGAAGTTAGCTTTCTAATGCACCTGGCCTTACTTAAAAAATCCAACTACAAAAATAGTTATAGCAGTTTTAGTACAGGCTGGTCTGGAAATTTTCTGAGCTGAAAATTGTTTTTTATGACATAGCCATCTTTCTAGCACCTAGGACTTTGATGTATGGTTTAATTCAGTTCAAGTCCAATTTCTAAGAGTCTAGGGACATACAAGGATGATAAATATCAAGTGTATTGTGTCCTAGAGTCATTTACCAAATTATGGTAACAAAGGCTTTAAAGATGAAAAATTAATTTCAATGCATTTTCCTTTACTTTCTAGAGGCCAAAATAAATATTATGATTAATGTGCATCGACCTAGAATTTCTAGCTTAAGTAATGAGTTCTTTCAAAGCTTATCAAGCGTGAACTAACTTTTTCTTAGCAAAGACTTCATATGTCAATATATATTAATGAAGTGCATAGTCTATTGCTAATGGACATAGGAGCATATGAATGATGTATGATATGCATGGTCCTATAATTTTGAGCTTCAAAATATATTCAAATATACTTTGACATTAAATCTTAAGCTCTTACCATCCTATCTACCCTTTTCTTCATTCTTTAACTATAATCGTTTAGGCTTGATAAAGACTTGCTTTCTTTCTTTGAAATGCTTGAATGATCTTTGAAGTCCGAGTTTTTCTTTGATTTCTTGCAACTTTTGAGGCTTCCTTGAATCCATTGCTTGAGTGCTTGGAATGCATGGAATGGATCTTTTAGCTCATCATTGAGGATTGGATATTAATCATATATACATCACTCAATGAAAATATTAGTACTTAAACATCATTAATGGTTTGTAATCATCAAAACATAAGATTGATCTTTAGATAAAATCCTTAGGCTAACAATCTCCCCCTTTTTGATGATGACAAAACATTGATGTGTTTATTATCAAAGTGGAGTTGCATTTAAAAGAATGCTAACCCTATCAATATGCATATCTTGAATATCATATCATGCTTTATTTTACAACATTTTTATAAGTCTCCCCCTATCAATATGCGTCTATCAAAATATATTAATTGAAAAGCAATAGACACATAAGTATAATAGGAATCACACATCTTTCTCCCCCTTTGTCATCTCAAAAAGGTGGGAGGATAAACTAGTTTCTCACCATATTTTGAAGTAGTAGTGTAGGAGAAACATGAAAGATTTAAACAAATAAGAAGAAATTTGAAGCAAATTTTCATTTTACATATATGGAAGCCATGGATAATTTTAAGGTTTGGACTGAAAATACACAAAGAACATTTAGAATGGAAACCCAATGAAAACACAATGTAAATTCCAAATCCCAAATTAATTTTAACTAAAGATTTATAGTAGCAATCCCAAAAATTTGTGCAAATGAAATAGCCAAATTTAATGCGCACAAACAGTCATAATTTTAAGTGCTAACAAAATTCATGCTCAAAACCCCCAATAACAGTTGTTATGTGACAAGGTCTAGGGTATGAAATTGATAAAATTAGCCTAGAAATAGAAACCCAAAATGGAATTATAATAAAATTCACAATTCAGAGCAAAAAAAAAAAAAAAAAATTTGTAGCTAAAATTCAATATTTGTAACACTGTAGTGAAGAGGATTTGTTTAGAGGCAAATTCTGCATAGAAGAATGTTCATGCAAATATACTTGAAAATTTTGAATTTGAGATAGGCAATGAATCAAATAGATTGAATAAATAATTATTACTGGAGTGAATTAACCTTTTCTATGTGAGAGAGAAAAGCTACAGTGCATATAAGGGTTTCATGGATGAAGAACCAAGGAGAAAGATACCAAGAATGATTTTTTTATTTATAAAAATATAGCTGAAATTATGAATTAAAGGTGTGAACATGTGAAATAATGAGTGGATTTGAGAAAGGAACTTACAGAATGCCCAAATCGCATGAAGACAGAACCTTGAATTAAGCTTCTGGGTCAAAGAACTGATGCAGCTCTTTGCCAAACAAAAATTCTTGCGGAACTGAATATAATAAGCTTACTGAAATTCATTGGTTGAGACTGTTTTCACTCGAAGTTTATAGATGGAGCTCACGGTCGCTTGAATCTGCCATTTGTCTTCATGTTGGTGGAGCTACAGCTGTGACCGAACTGATTTGAGAGACTGAAGCTTGCTTGGTTGGAGTTTCGTCGGACTGATATAGAGCTCAAAAGTAGCTTAGGCGTCACCAGAATTAATGGAACTCAAATGAACCTTGAGTTCTTAGTTTATGTTACTGGAAGTTTCAACTGAGATGCCCAATATAGAAATATGCCGAGACTCTGTATATATATAACAACCTACAGTGCACTTAAGTGAACAACCCGAGAGTGAAGCTTTTAAAGCTTATTTGGCAGCCGGCTCTCATAAGTTTAGAGCTGGCTCTGTCCCTTTTTATTGAGCCCGCTCTTGTTGGTTCCTTAGAAGATCCTGAGAGCTTGAGAATTTAAGCACTTATGGAGCTGGCTCTTAGGTGATACCAAGAAATAAGCAGAGAGATCCCGAGAGCAACAAGTAATATGCAGGTTTTGGTCCTGGTTGGGAGCCAGCTCTTGTTTTTATAGAGCCTGCTCTCTCAGTTTATAGAGCCTGCTCTTATATAAAGGGAGCTGGCTCTCTCCTAAAATTCTTGAGATCCTGAGAGCATGCAATTTGATATCATCTGTGGAGCCTGCTCTGCTTTGTGTAGAGACGGCTCTTTTTCTTCAAAGAGATGGCTC